GACATAACCTCAAAATCTCTGTTAAATATTCAGATATTCTCAAACTCCGGCATAATTTTAAAATGGTTTTTTTCCTACTCATTCTAGAAATAATTCTCTTTCGTTTACCGTTGGTTTCAACAATGTGCACGGTTACGCAAAAATAGCCGATGTCTCATAGTAAATTGCCCATTCTCCTTTACAAATTTCGAAACTTAGATATCAATACAAATACGAAAAAGTACAAATAAAATATGAGATGTTTATTGAGTTTTGAAAATTAATTTACTTTTATACATGAAAGAAAACTGGAAGGGTTGTCATGGAGAAATCAAGAAAATACCTAAGCGACATCTAATTTGATTTCGGTAACTATTTTTTTTAAATACTTCCTCATTATTTTTCGCAAGTATATATTTTTATTTCTTTAATATATATAGGTAGGTATAGATATAGCCTATAGCTATACTTTAAGCAAAAAATTGTTGTAAATTAGCAGATGATTAAATTTATATGAATACTTCAGATTTAAAAAATGTAGATGTTAAAACCTAGAAAAAGAGGTATTATACGGAATGAGACAGTTTAAGACGTGCAGTAGAAACTGTACAAAATAATTAACTTAACACAAATGTTGCACCATTTTTATTCCGTTTTTATCCTTTTTCATTATCACTACATAGTATAAAACAAAGTCACTTTCTCTGTCCCTATGTATACTTAAATCTTCATAACTTCGCAACGGATTTTGATGCGGTTTTTTTTCATAGATAGAACGAAGGAAGTTTTTATGTATAATATAAGACCACGCGGGCAAAGCCACTGGCGGAAAGCTAGTAATTAATATAAAAAAGTAATAGTCATAATAGTCATTTAGCCTTTTAAGGAACATTTTGGCCAGCCAAAAAAAAAGTTTTTTAATTCATTATAAAACGGGTTGGCAAGCTATTTAATGCCAATATAATAGTCATTGCTACAAAATAAAATAAAAAATCATTTTTCACATATTTTTTCTTCATTTATCCTGTTAATCAAAGATTATAAAGTGTTTCCTCGTTAGAATGGCCTTCCATGGTCAATCCTCCTTTTTTTAATAATAATGACGAGTGATAATTTAATGGATTTGACCACCAAAAGACCACCTTAAAACATTTCAAAGTAAAGTTTAACAAAATATCACCATTACATCGATAAAATATCATATCCTATGGCTAGAGAGTTAAGTGGTCATATATCCTTTTTGTCGTAGGTATGTTACAACAAGAAATGAACGTCTTCTTTACTATTGGAAAGATTAATAAATATGAATCATAGGGATCACAGAATATTAATATTTAATCCTTTGTGTTTGTGTTAGATTTTTTAACACTTTTCTCAAACATTGGGCAGGGGGCGCCACTATGAAGTTTCTACCCAGGTACGATTTGCAAGTCCGCCAGGTGGCAGATAAGACAATGGACACTTTTTACACATTATAAATATTTTAAGTAAACAAAACACGTAACAGGCGTGCTTCAGAAAAACATCTGGGCGAAGTTATTTCAAAAACTGGGATATTCATCAAGACTGCCAACACAAATAATTATGTGAGAACGAAATGCGGGATTGTTATGATTAAATTCAAATATCATTAGGAACCCGTATAAAAAAAATACTGTAGAAACCTTATTAAATTAAATCTACCTATTCGAATATGTTCTGTATGATAGTGATTTGATTTAAAAGCGATTTTTCCTTCTTTGAAAGATTTTTGAAGTCATTATTAATATTCTAATTTATCGTGAATATATCAAAGCCAAATCGAACTGACTTTTGCCAACCCACAGCCGAAACTACTGTAGACTAGAAACTTGAAATTTGATACAGGAGTTCCTGTCATGATGTAAGTGAAGTCTAAAAAGGATTTATAGAAATTCAACCCTTAAGAGAGTAAAATAGGGGAGTTAAGTTTATATGGAATTTTCGCATTTCTGGACTTAGAAGTAAGGAAACTATGCTATACCACGCGGGTGAAACCGCAGACGGCGGGCTAGTAATCTATATAAATGGATGTTAACATACATAAGACACTATTCTGTAAAGTATTTCCGCATTCAACTGAATATTTTTTAATCGATAAAATAAAAAAATATATATCACCTATACCTTATGTGTACCTACTGCAGTTGAAATTATTAGATACTTTTGAATTCCATTTTATGCATTAAAATCAAAAAATCACTTTGGGGTCATCTATAAATTGCGTCACAGATTTTTTGCCCCTCCCTCCGTCGTCACAGCTGGTCACATTTGTGTGAACTTCCCCACCCTTTGCAAATTTACATTTAGAAATTATTCAATGCAAACAGCGGTTCCGAAACCAGTTTTATTTTTAATGATATTAACATTAAATCAAACAAATAATAAAACAAAAACTGTTAACTATATTACACTGTACATTTTATATAGTTTACGGTAATAAAGATTACCTAAATCACTTTTTGTTCATTTTAAATTTGTTCCTAAAGTAAAAAATCACAAATTAGCAAAACCAAGAACGACGTTGTTTCATCCGCGAAATTCAGTTGTCAAACGAAATAGAAACAAAGAAATCACTGCTAGGCATTATGCGTTTGGCGGGAATTATTAAAGGGCGCCCAGGCGGTTGGCGCGTAACGCTAGCAGAGCAATTGGTCGCGAAACAATTTAAAGTTTAAAGTTCGTAATTTAACTCTTAGATTATAATAGATTTTAAACATCACATTTCAAAATCTATTATAATCTAAGTGGCTAAATGGTTAATGTTCTTAAAGGCTTAATGTATAAACAACTAATTGATTGTTCTTCATAATATAATATTATAAGTACAGAACAGTCAGGGCTGGGCAAAATACATGATTTGCTTTAATTGAAATATAAATTACAAAATACTTTATCGCAAGTAATTAAAATACGAAATAATAAATATATTTAAGTGAGGTATTTGAAATATAAAATACAAAATACTGTATTTAAGCTATTTTTAATTGAAATACAAATTACAAAATACACAATAAGAAATTGTGAATGAGTTATGTTTTTTTTATGCATTCACAATGCTATGTTTAGTATTTGAAAATTCCTAAAAGTATTAGAAAAGCTTTGACACCCTTTCACATACATTGGTCGCAGATGCTGCTGGTGTATATGTGAAAGGGTGTCGAATTTTTTCTTATTCTTTTAGGAATTTTCAAAACCAGAGTTCCCTTTCATAAAAACTAGATTTTTTAATGATTTTTCCGACAAACATCCTCTTGCTGGAGAGTGAATAAAACCGGCTAAGGATAATAATCTTTCTACAATTCCCGATAAGCACAAACTTGTGTTGAATTGTATAAATTCATTTTTTATATTTGGTTATCACTTAAGAATTGAAAGCTCTTTGCTATTATCATTCAGGAAGGTGACAAACTCCATTTTAGATGTCTGTGGTTGATCACTGTCTCTGCTGTCAAAAACAATAAAATCATCATCTTCTTTACTCGTGGTGCTACTACTGCTGCTTCCAGGCATTATTTCATGATTTTTGTAACTTGTCTTTAAGGCATGAATGGCAAGATTTTGAATTCTTTGCCTGTCATCTGTTGTCAAAATCAACGGGTATATCTCAGAATTAATTTGGTTCACTCCATCGCCACCGTTATCCGGCATAGTGGACGACGTACATGGAGAGGGATTTTGATCATTTATCGCGAAAAACTTTAATATTTTATTTAGTATACTACACAGAACATGAAACGAAGCTTTATTTATTCCGTTACGAACAAGTTACGATACCTAACGTATCGTAACTTGCATAGATAATACGGTAACTTGTTCTAACGGTTAGGACTTGACTATACCCAGTATAATATTGTAATCTTTGGACTATACTTTGACTTTGACATTGACAAGTCATGTGTCATAGCGGACAGGTGCAGTGTTGCCAACTGTAATATCCGCATTACAATCATTACACTCTCGCGCCTTAAACTCACGATCGCTTAATGAAGATTAAATGTATTTTGAAGCCTCTAGTATTTGAAATACTAATTACAAAATACCTCTGCGTCAGGTATTTGAAATACAAATTACAAATTACATTTTAAGGAAGTAATTGAAATAGAAATACCAAATACGTATTTGTATTTTAATTACGTATTTCAATTACAAGTAATTTAAATACTGCCCAACCCTGAGAACAGTATGGTTTTCAAATCCACAACACGAGCTATACATAAACTCGTAGATACGGTATTAACAAGTATTAATAAAAAACTCTTAACTACTGGTCTTTTCATTGATTTGACTAAAACTTTTGACCGAGTTTCATATAAGTACTATTAACTAAACTCGAGGCCATTGGTATCAGAGGAGCTGTTTTAGAGTGGTTCAAGTCATATGTACGTACATATTAGAAAGCAGTGTGTTGTTATCGATAATTTAAACAAAAATAATGAAGTCGTGTCATTCTCATCAACATTAATAACATTACGCATGTTACTGACCATAAAAGTATTTCATTTGCAGATAATATCTAATAATAAAAATTGTACAATTAATGAAAATGAAATTGTCATCAATAATGCTATTCACAATGAGGAAGTATTTTAAAAAAACATTAGTTCCCGAAATCAAACTAAATGTCGCTACGGTACTTTCTGGATTTCTCCATGACAACCCTTCCGGTTTTCTTTCATGTATAAAAGTAAATTAATTTACAAAACTGAATAAAGGGCTCATATTCTATTTGTAATTTTTCTTATTTGTATTGATATCTAAATTTAGAACTTTGCAAATTTCAGTTTTTTAATAGGAACGAAAATGACTATCTTTGGTCCATTCGTTTACTGCAAAAATCAACTTTTGATAGGCGCATTTTTAATGCTTTCTGTTTTTTTCTTAAAATGCTTCCTCATTTAATTAATAACGCCACATAGCACGCGAACAACTAAGATGCTTCTAATAATACCTCATTTATCTAGTTACGATGAGTAATTTGGAAGTTATAAGGGAACTGATAAACATTCTTACATGCATGCACACATACCGGCCAAAATCATATAACCCTTCTTTTCGCTTCGCCGTAGTCAGTTAATAATTAAAACATACCCATCCGAAATCTCAAACTCGATATTATTTTAGTAAATTTTATTTAATATTATAAACTTATATTCTAAACACGATTAATTAAAATTATGGCTGTATGAATGCAAATTTCCTTGCTTCTTTTATGGTAACAAAAAAAAATAAAAAACACTTAAATGTCAATATTTGTTTATCAGTGCTGCAGTTTTTGCTTTAGTGTAAAACTATAAATTTTACTCAAATAAATACATATTCGATGTTAGTTTAAGCATAATGTCTGACCAGGAAGACGGCTATTGTCGCTTATGTGCGGAACCAACTCCACATGGCCAGTTATTAGAAGCTGATGGAGACGTCGGAGTTAATTCTAAAATCACAACAAAAATGCAATGGATAAACGTCGATATCAACTCGGATGTGTTGCCGACTACAATATGTTTTTCATGCTTCGACTTATTGGAACGTACTTGGTCGTTTTTACACAACGTACGCACTGCACAAGAGAAGTTAAACAGTATATTTTCAAAGGCAAGTAAACCGGCGGATAACAATGAAATCAAACCAGAAAACTCATCGCAGGCTGATAATACTGGTCATCCAGTTAACACTGATTGGGAGGAGTTTGAATGTCCGAAACTCGAAGTAAAAGATGAATGTGAAATTGAGAATTTGCAGGTTTTAACTGTAGATCCTAATGCACTCATGGATATTGATTATAATATAGTGAAAACTGAAACTGCTTCTGACATAGAATTCGACAACGATGGTTACAATTCTAGTGATAGTGATTTACCTCTAAGACTCACTGTTAAAAAGAAAAAACTAAAAAAGAAACGCCATTCTATTATTGAAATTGAAGAATTAAGTGACAGTTTAACAGTAAAACCGTTAACATGGGATGATTATATGTGTCGGTGTGCCAGCTGTGATGCACAGTGCAAAAACATTGCATCGTTACGTCTCCATTCAATACAGATACATTCATGTTGTTGTGCCTTCAAATGCTCAGATTGCAGTAAAGTCATACATAGTTTCCGTATGTTCGTTAACCATGTGCGTATGCACAATAAACTATTAAGGTACTGCTGTGAATTTTGTAATAAGAGATTCACAAGATCAACTTATATGAAAAAACACTGTAATTTAGTTCATAGAGATATGTACATAACAATGTGTGGAAATTGCGGCACTGTCTTTGATACTCAAGAACAAATGAAAGAACATCTATTGGCATATGCTAAAGGTGTGAAAAAGCGCCTGATCAAACGTGAAAACATAGAAACAGACCTCAAATGTCAACATTGCAAAAAAGAGTTCAAATCAAGAAGCAATTTACAGCAACACAAATTAGTTCACACAGAACGTAGTCGAGATTTCTCCTGTCATGTGTGCGGTAAAATGTTCTTCACGAAAGGCACATTAAGTACTCATATGACAACACATGAAGATGCAAAGCCTTTTAAATGTGAGTTTTGTTCAATGGCATTTCGTGCTCGTGGTAATCTCCAGTCTCATATAAGTTTGCATTCTGGTGCAAAACCTTTTGTCTGTGAACAATGTGGAAAAAGCTTTAGAGTGAAACGTCACTTGAAATCACATTCTATTGTCCATACAGATTTTATGCCCTATGTTTGCGAATATTGCAACAAACAGTTCCGTTTCAAAACCCGTTTGAATCTTCATCTACGACAACATACAGGTGCTAAACCTTACACATGCATCTATTGCAAAAGAGATTTTACGAATGGTTCTAATTTTAAGAAACATATGAAACGGATACACAACATCGACACATCCAAAAGAAAAATTGATGCTGCTATAAAACGTATAGAACATATAGATGAGACTTCTTCACAATAATCAAGTAGAAAATAGTCTCAGAAAAGTCTAGATGCACTGCAGGTTCACCATTTTAGTTTTTTCTCATAATATCTTGTCTAAATGAATATTTGATATAAATTTTATTATTTAATGACAAAGTTAAATGATTTTTATTTGATTTTTATTTGAAATCTATGCTTCTGTTAATGTAATTTATTTAGATAAATATTATTAATGAAATATTCTTAAAAAATCCGCTTTGTCCCTGCCACTCTGAGATGGGACTCGAACCTATGACCATTCATAATTTTTCAGTATAGCATTAAGAATGCAAAGTTGATCAAATATAATTATTTAGACGAGTTTTTGTGTGGGATGCTTTTTTTGGAAAAAAGAAAAATGATTAGTAGGGTAACTAAATCATTTTAAACATATTCTCATTTATAAAATGTTTTAACTTGTAAATACCTATAGTAATAATATTGTACAAAGTTATTTTATGTCTTGATAATTTAATTAACTTTGCAATGGAATGTACAAGTAGTGCTCAATTACTTTTTGATATTAAAATACCAACTGAAATTAAATTAAATGATGTTTAACAGCTATTACTTATTCCAATAAAAATAAATGGATCCATAGTGTTACAATATAAATTATTACTTTTGAAGAGTGACATTCTGTAAGCATATTTGACATTGTTTTTATTCATTTTAAACCTTTTATACCTATTTCCTAAACTGTAAAATAAGGTATAATGACAAATTAAGTTCCAGTGAATGTTCTAAATTTGAGAATTTGTCATTGAATTTGAAATATCCAAAATATTGCTTACATCTAATGTGACAATTCAAATGGACATGATATCCCCTTCTCTATGTTTAGGTTGATTCGATGTTAAAGAAATGAGAGGGAGCCTAAGCATTAAAAATAATTACCTATGACGATATCTTCTAAAAAATAAAAGTTTGTTTCAATTTAATCTTGTGACCACTCTTATACGCAGATAAAATTTGTGAATTAATAATTGTTTATACCTATAGATTTATTAATAATTATTGTACAAAAGAATTATTATTATATATTTATACATAATTTGAATTTTTATTTCTTTCTCTGTCCATCATTTGCCTTACAACTTTATCAAGAATAAAAACTATTGACAACTAACAATAGAGCAAAACAAATTGAGAGTAGGTATAATACTACTCCAAAAAGGAGGTTCTCTGCTAGTTATATATACGCTGGAAAGCAAAAACGTAGTAACCCACAAACCCATTTTTTTTTTATTCAACTTCTAAAGCAGAATAATATTTTATTTTTTCATTAAAAAAACTCTTTTCTGTATATATCGACTTATTAATTGGGTATTTGTTCTCATCAATGTTAATTAGATTTTTTTTTCAAATAAGCATTAAGTATGTTCCTGAGGGCGCAGTGGTTAGGTCAGTTAGTACATTCGATCTGCGAAACGGAAATAAAGCACAGTCATTGGTCATAGGATGGGTGAATAATTAAATAGCTCGAGCTCCTTCGTGATAAGAACTGCAGATAAAGCTGCATCTGCAATTTTTAATACCCAACAACGTTACGTAGGGTACCGTAACCCAAACGCACAACGTTAAACAATTTTAATCGCGCGATTTCCATAGAAGTTTCTTGAATAAAATTGAATTGAATAAATAAGTATTTGATTTTGGTTTCAAGCTTTTTATTTTAAAAACTTTAACTTGAATTACCTATATTTAAGTTTCGGCGTACTTACTTTCGCACCGGGTATTAAGCACCTGAGGCAATTAAGGCCCATCTTTGAAACTTATTCTAGAATACTTTAATGCCTGTTCAAACTTTATACACTATCCCTGCTCTGAATATGTCAGTAGTACATAGCCTATGCTCCTAAATTTTGCATAGGTTATAGTTTTCGTTTAAGTTTTGTGTATTTTGTATTTTTCTTTCAAACTGGATTAATTACTTTAAAGTTTTCAGAGATAAAGTACTGAAACATATTGGATATTAATCGGTGTTCATGTGTTATCTTATTTTCTTTTTTTGTATTATTTTATGATAGTATTTTGTATTTTCAAATAGCAATGTTGTGTATAGCAGTTATTGCCCTATTTTGTATGTCAACCCTGTACCCCTATACGAGTATTTAAAAAATGCAATTGCACAGTAGAGCTATTACTGTACCTTGAATAAATAAATATAGTTTTTTAGGGTTCCGTAGTTAAAATCCATAAAACAAATCGTAATAAAACAAAGAACCCTTAGTTTCGCCATGTTAGTCTGTCCGTTCCTCCCTCCGCCCCCGGTTTAGCTCAAAAACTATTGGTATTAGAAAGTTAGTAGGTATTTGGCATGAATATACATGTTAATACATGCTAAACGGGCCAACTAAACGGTCGTTATTAAAAATTCAAACGTTACAACATTAATACCTTTTAAAAACGACGTTAAAAGGAAAACTATCACACTTAAGTTGACTTTACAAGTTTACGAGTAATAGTCGACCGATTGCATTTAACTCGAAAATTTCGAACAACTCAATAGAAAACAATATACGTGTTTTTTTACCCTTTTTAATAGATAATGGAACCCTTCGTGCTCGAGTCCAACTCGCACTTGATCGGTTTTTGTGAAGAGTTGAAATAAGGAATTAAAGTTCGTTTGGAAGTTCATCATTGTCTAAGATAAAATCATGAAACTTTGTTAATTTATAAAGAGGTATTTTGCACGATATAATGAATGAATATTTGTTTGAGCATTTTTGAAAATGATGCCCAATATAACTTTTCCACGTGTACAAAGTCGCGGGCATAAGCTATTACTAATATAGAAAATCTTAAAATCTATCCAGCTCTCCCTCATGTACTTGTCTCGTGTGTCAGTAATGTGAATCAACAAAACAATACCATTATTTGGAGCGTAACATGTCTCCAGTTACTATTGTCCAACTAGAAAATAGAATGGCGGTATGTTGCTTTATGTTTAGGGAGAATATTTTTTTTTATATATTGAAGTTTGTTGAACTTGCTGTTAAATAAATTTCAATATTAATCTTAGAAATACAAATAATATTGCAATAGCAATGTAGCAATGTAAAACATAATTCAATGATTACTTTGCTCAGGGAGCAAAGCACACATAGAATTAGTAGCTTTATTTATTATACTAACTGATTTCCAGCAACTTTTATCGACAGCGAAACAGAGAGGCATGTGATGTTTCATGAGATATGGACATCTTTGTACATAGGTATGAATCATTTATAGTCAATCCTACACAAACATTTGGATGTGAGAAAGCTATGTTCTAGATGGATCCCAAACAATTTGACTGATGCTCAAAATACGGACGGATCACTTGATGCCATGATCTGCTTGCCAGATATAACGAAGGATTTATTTAGGTATGGGACATAGTAAACTTGGATTCATAACTACAATCAACAAATCAGCAATCGAGCGTATGAGTCTTTCGAAATGAGCCGAAACTGACATAGTGTTTCGCGTTAAGAGTACTTCGAAGCGGATGATATGCTTTGGAAAATCGTCGTACCATGAATAGTGACAGATACACGACCATTTGTTCATCAATATTAATAACAAATTCCGTGAAAATAACGGTAAACGTCGTATCTTGTACCACGATTACACAAGGCCCTCCACGACCAGACAGACAAATGTATTTTTGAAGTAAAAGAAGCGTATTATGAGTTATCTAGCTTACAGACCCGACCAGACCTATCACCGAGTGGCTTTTTTCTTTTCCCAAAAATCAAGAACCAATTACGCAATCATTTTGTAAATTAACTACAATTCGCGAAAAATTTGTCATCATAAAAAAGAAGTTTTGAAATTGGTTAAAAATCAAATCACTGGAACTGTTAAAAGTGGATAAAATATAAACTCATATCAAGTTGCGATAGAAAATTCATATTGCATTTGAGATCCATTGCTCAAAGATTAAATAATGTTCAGCAAAAAAAGACTCAAGCTATAAAAACAATTTCTGCCTACTTTCAATAAAAGTTATTCGTTGCTTTTTAACAGTATTGAATACATAATCACTTATAGAAAATTAAGAACATTCCAAGGTCAACCCCTTCCACCCCAAAACACTTTTATTGATATACTTATCCCATATAAACTTTGGAGAAGCAAAAATTCATGGGGGACAAAGCAGGCATGTGCGTGCATAAAATCCAACCGGCCGCGTCGACAATAGGCCATTAGCGTGGTAAGTACTTTATAGGTATAGAGTAAGATGTATGTGACTTATGAGTCTGTGATCTATGATGATAATGTCACAAGTACACGCGACAAGTAGATATATTTCTACCATTCGCACATGAGATTAATAACCTTAAGATTGTTTTAAGAATTTCATGTAAATTATTACTTTGAAGTGAGATATTTGAAAAGTGGTACGTTAAATTATATAAGTATGTAGATTTAATTGTTTAAAATATCTTTACTAATTACTTAACGTTTCATTTTAATGTCTATGTTTTGAATAATCATATTGATCGTAATAAATCAGTCAATGTAACGTATGGCCAGGTTGTACTAGTGATCGTCTGCCCCTCAGGGCTGACACAGGGAGTGATGAGGCTGGTCTTTTGTGGCGCATCGACCTACGGGGGGGGATCCACGATAAGGGCTATGCCTGTGTGGATCCACACAGGCATACTACACGATGGGTAGGGGACCGGAGATTGCACAGTTGCGCATCTCTGGTCTCTAGTCGGGGGCAGCTGACCGGTTAGCGCACCGGTCGGCATTGCACGCTCCTGCCTCGTCGTGGGGGTGCGTCTTGAATGTCTCTGAGGCGTACCCCCAACCCGTGGAGCCCGCGCAGGGTGAAGCGGGTATGCGTAACGCATTTTTCAGCGTCAAAAAAAAAAAAAAGGTTGTACTAGTGATAATTCGTGTTTAGAAGTCAAAAGATGCCCTGAAGAGATAGCAGGGTAAAATATGTAGGTTGATTCAAAATTACTTTCAATAATATTCTTAATGAAAAATGCTTCAAAATCCACTTTGTCCCTGGCCATCTGAGTTTGGACAAAGTGGATTTTAAAAAAAAATTTACTAAGAATATTTTTAGTATAGCATTGTGAATGCAAAATTGATTAAATATAACATTTTTAATAAGTTTATTTTGAGGCAAGATTTAAGACTTAAAAGACCTTGTAGAAGATCCATCAGATGCTGTTGGATGACGGTCTCATATTGTATACTATATATTTTTACAGCTTAAAGTATTTTAGTGACTATCAAAAATTTTCGTTCATAAGAATATTCTAAAGATAAATCTTAAGATATAGTATCTTGGCACGTGCCCCTCCCATGCAATCCAGTCGTGCTCATCAAACCATGCAGAAAACAAAAGCAACGGAAACGCTGCTCCAGTCGACGACAAGAAAAGCAACAGAACAGTTTTCTAAATCAAATTCCTAATTTAAACTACAAAAAAAAATACACCTGAAAAATAATAGAAACTTTTTTTTAAAATTCAAAAGTTATTCAAAGTGTCAAGAAATTACCGCCAAAAAGTCAAATGCTATACCAATTTACGCATCTTGAGCAATAAACGTTAATTAAAATTCATTATGTAAAAGAGTTGCGTAATTTAACATAAAAAGATGTTATTAAAACATTTTGGATTGCATAAAATGTACGAGTGAATATTTTTGAATACATTAAAAGTGACTCAAGGTGGATAGACTGAAAGTTTACTTTTAAAAATGGATGCTCGCAAAGGCGCAACCGTGTTTATACTTTTTGCTTTCTTCAC